GCATCCTCACTCGATTGCTTTGGACCTATTGAGGAGTATATGTCCTCTGGTGCCATCAGATGGTTTGGGATTAGAAATGGGTGACGGACTAGCATGTACTTTTCCAACATCCAGCGGCAGACTCTGACTGTTCCCCTCTCAGTGCCCCCTGGATTGAGGAAGACCTTTCAGGGCAGCAGCCCCATTGGGTGGTCATGTCGCTATTTTATTTTGGATCGTGGCATTTCCACCATGTCCACATGCACATTACTTTCGTGTTTTCTAGTCTTATTTCATCTCTGCTTGGGAGTAACTAAACCTCAGAGGTGCCCCTGTGCCCATGGATGGCCTCGCCCACCCCCACCCAAGAGACCCCAGGGCTTGCACCTCCAGCGCGGTCTTGATGTCAGAGGCAGCACTGGAGTCCAGCGTGGCGTAGGGCAGGTTCCCGCGCACAGGTTTCTTGGACTTCTCTGAGGCCTGGGTGGGGACCCAGCTGAGAATCAGGCCTCGAGCTAGAGCGTTACAGAGCATCAACAGTGTGACAGGATCCCTGGAAAAGCAGGGCGCCTCAGGGCGAGCAGGGACAGGAAGTCCCCCTCTCCCACAGCTTCCCTGGGGGCCTCACGGTGACCCCCTTGGCACCGAGTAGAACTGCTCCTCAGGGCTTGCTTGGCTGTGGACTGTCACACCCCAACACCTAGTCCCCAGAATGGTCACAAGTCGATGCCCTCGTTCATAAGGCCACAGGTGTAGGGTCACTGGCCTCTGCTAAACACACAGGCCCTCCCGCCAGCATAAAGCATATTGTCCCTGAAGCAGCAGGCAGGGGTGGGAGCAGTTGGTGGCACCTCCAGTGGAGGCTGTCTGGTGCCTACCCACCCGTTGTGGCCAGACTTCTTGATAATGTTCAGGAGTGTGCCCAGAGCCTCAACCAGCTCCCTCTGGCGGCCGGCAGCGATGAGGTGGTAGTTGTGGTTCAGCATATAAACGGTGGCGTTCTGCACAATCCAGGCCTCGTGAATCTCCTGCCCAATCTCGGCGGAGCGAAGCCAGTTGTTCATGGCATACTGAGACAGGCTCGTGATCCAGGAGCTGTGCGCAGTGGAGACCGGGTTTGGGACAGAACTATCCGGAGCAGGCCAGCAGGGGGCAGGCGTGGGCACCACTGCCTCTCCTGGCTGAGGACCTCCAGACCATTTGGAGGGCCCTGGATCCAGGGGGCACTTGGTGGGGACCATGTCCAGCAGAGGGGCCTCTGCCCACACCCAGCCCTCTCAAAGACCATTGCTCCCCAAACACATCTGGGCCTGGGCCAGCTCTGCCCACCTCTAAGCCCACTAAGGTGACTTCCCACATCCACTGCCGGCCCTAGCAGCTCCAGTCTGTCCCTCACTGCATACCACCTTCTTCCACGGCTCCCAGATGGACTCGGTGCAGAGTCTGAAGTCTGTCCCATTGCCCCCTCCCCACAATCCCCCTGAAATCCACCCCCACCCCCAGGCCTACCTTCTACTCCCCCCACCCGAGCCTCTACTGAAACCGGCTCCACTCCCCACACCCAGACCGGCCTCCCCGACCCCAGCTCCCCTGCAGTCCTCCCATTCCACTTGTCCAGACCTGTGCCACCCGCCTGTACCCAGCCTCCCCTCCCACACCCAGCACCCCCACCCCCTGCCGCTGTGACCAAAGCCCTCTGGGACCTGGGTCCAGCAGTTTCTGAGGATGGGGCCCTGAAACTGCCCTATGGAGGTTACTGAAAGTGTCGGGTACCCTGGGCACTGTTGTCTGAGGGGGACGCGGGCAGAGCCCCCACCTGTATGCAATCCACTCCGAGTTCTCCATGGGTGCGACCGTGTAGCCAGCTGAATGCTGACTTAAGTCTTCAGGGGGGACGGGGCAGTCATTGAGCTGGACCCCTTCAGACTGCAGCAGATGGATAGTGGCCTGCAGACACACACGGGGCATGGGGACACGAGTGAACACAGACAGAGCTCTCACCCTGCGGACTGCCACCCCGTCCCCTTTCCTCAGGCCTTGGAGTGAGAACACCAGACACACATGGGGTCCCTTCTGCGATGTCATGCTCACTTGGAAGTGGGCAGGCTCTGCTAGAGCAGCCGGTGTGCTCAGGCAAACTTCCTGCTTAATGGTCTCCACGTTCATCAGGACAGGTGGATGGGGATGCTGGGGCAGGGGGAGTGTCAGCGGGCAGAGGCCAGAGTGGCCACTGCCTGTGTCCTCCACAACTGTCCCTGACACTTCTGTCAGCTTCCTGCACAGGAGCTCACTCTGGCCACCTTGTGTCCAGCACAAGGAGGACTGGGTGTGAGGTCATGTGTGAGTTACATCAAGTGGTTGACCATCAGGAGCTCTGGTCCACTACACTGAGAGTGTCCAGATGTGTAGTGGACCGGGGTACACATGGACAGATGTGAACAGGGGGCCAGGAGGACACACAGACATGTGTTTGATCAGGGAATGCACAAACAGATGTTAGCAGAGGGTCAGGAGGACACACAGGCTCGTAGTAGAACAGGAGAACACAGTTTCCATGCCTGCACACACCTCGGCATTGATGAAGCCCACCTCGGCGAACCTCCGTAGCAGGTCGGGGGCCTCTTGCAGCTGAAGGATGAGTTCCAACTGCCCCAAGCTGCCATGCATTGAGCTGTCCAGGCCACGCTTCCTCTTCCCTGAGGGACACAGTGGGCAGGGGCACTCCTGGAGCTGGGGGGCAGGGCCCCACCCACCAGCCTGTCCACCAGGTCCTGTGTCTCCTTGGGCCAATGGCTCCGGATGTCTGACCTGCTTCTTCTCACCGGCCACCTCAGAAGGCCTTGGTGTCCTGACCCTCATTACCTCACCTAGAGTCACCTTCCTTGTTTTGGGAGACCTGTCTGCCTGAGGGGCAGGGCTACTCCACACTGCTGCCCCCTCCTGGTACAGGGGCAGGGGTGCAAACACACAGTCCCAGCCTCAGCAGTGCCGGCTCTCTCCCGACTGTGGACATCTGGCAGAACCTGCCCCATCTGAGCCCAGAACTGATGCAGCAACCAGGACAAGGTTGGCACAGGGTGGTCAGTCTGACCCTAATGGGGCCTCAGGCGGCTGCAGGCTGACCTGAGAATGCCCTTTTACATTTGAAGCCTCCCC